CGGGTGCCGTACTGCATATAGGCCTCAAAAAGGGACCCTAATTTACAGAACGACCAAGCTTACATAACAGTCGACGATGCTGCCAGTATTTCCGATGTCAGCCGCTTATGGGTCCCCATCGCGTCTGAAACAAGAATCTCAGAATTTGCCACCCTCGCGGTCCAATGGCTTAGGAATTAGGGTCTTCTGCTGCTGAGGTCCTGCCCCGCCGGTGCTGCCGGCTTGTGGGCTGGGGCTAAGTCCAGGATTACAACTGTTCCTAGACCCTGAAATTTTTCACGCCTTAACCACCTATACTATCTAGTTCCACTGAGCTTTTCGGGACTGCTGCGAGGTAGGGGGGCTTCTTGCTGGCATAAACACCTCATGCGGAATGTCGCTTGTCCGTAGTTTCGTCACACCTCAAATTGAAGCCATGGACACCGGGAACATTGTCCTAAAGCCCAAACCCTAAACCACAAACAACACTGTGCAGCCTGCGGGCCGCAGAGACACGAGAACTCCTCCTTAGCCACATGCTCTAAAATCTAGAGTAAAAGGGTTTTAGGGAAAAGGGTTTATGGTTTAGATCAAGTGCCTGCATGAACAGTCATTTAGGGTATGGGGTTTTGGGGTCTAGATGAAGCAGTCAACGTGCCCCTTTCATGCGGAGCATGTCCTCACACCATGCTCTTACCACAATCATCAACATCCCATGTGGGAGTTCGGGTTTGAGGGGCCTCTATTCCCTTACAAAGGCCCAGGGTTTGGGGGTTCAGGGTTCAGGTTCGTGGGCATGTAAAAAATGTTGTTTTTCCTGGATGTGTGGGCCTTACAGCTCCCCACATCCTCCCAGATCCTCATCCACATCATTTCTGGCAGGACTTCGCTCGGCGTCATTGCCTGCGCTGTGCGGCTTTCAGCTTTTCCTGGGGTAGTCGATCGCGCTAATCCCTGAACCGAAACCCTAAGCACTAAACCTCAGACCCCGCGCACGAATGCACCGGACGGTTTCACGGATTTGGGTTTCGAGTCTAGATTGGGTATCTGTGGTGGTTTGAATTGCAAGTATATAGGGGCTGCTATATGCGTTGCTGATAATGAGTACGGGTGTGTCAAAGTTGGTTCAGGGCTTTGGGCTTGTGGAGCTTAAACAGGGTATTAGTGTTCGTGCTAAGCCCCAAAATCCGAAAACCCTAAAAAATTGGAAAGCCCTAAAGCCTAAAACCCTGAAGTGCAAACCCGAAAACTCTAAAGCCCGAAAGCCCTAAAGCCCATAAACCCCTGAAGCGTAAACCCGTAGGAGTTTAGGGTTCAGTGCCCTTGTTCATAGTTGGGTACCATTTTACATTCTTAAGGGTACTTAAACCCAATAAGGAATAGATATTTCAATTATTGGGTATGTTTACCCTTGTAATAGCTACATGGTTGCTCTAAGCCCTAAATCCTAAACCCTGAACCCTGAACCCTGAACCCTGAACCCTAAATCCTAAACCCTAAACCCTAAACCCTAAACCCTTGCTTTCAAGGTGCCGGGGGTTACTCTAAGGGTGGTTTCATCCTCGTCCCGAACCTTTGCACACTGAAATCCGCCGCCCGCTGGCCATCCTCAGGTTCAAAGAATCCGCCGCCAAACCTAGAGGGTTTAGGGTTTAGGGTTTAGGGTTTAGGGTTTAGCGTTTAGGGTTTAGGTTTAGGGTTTAGGGCAAATCCTGAAAGAAGAAGAAGAAGAAAATCAACACCAACAGGCGCGCAATCCCTAAGCCCCAAAACCTGCTAACCCAGGATGCCTGTCTGTTGGGACCCCGAGGGGTGCTTGGGGTTTAGGGTTTAGGGTTTAGAGTTTAGGGATTGGGGTTTCCGTAGTTTTCTCGTTCTTACCAAGGAGTTCGTGACGTAGAGCCCCTAGTCCCTTAATCTAGATGAGCATCTTACAAAACAAATCCCCAAACCCAAGCCCCTAAACCCTAAACCATGTAAGGTACTAACTCCCTACTTCCATGATGATTTAGGCTTTAGGGCCCTTGGGGTTTGTAAGATTCTTAAGATACCCAGAACAGGGTTTTGGGTTTAGGGCTTAGGGCTTAGGGCTTAGGGTTTAGGGTTTAGGGTTAGGGTTTGGATCCTGAATGTAGCCTGAGAGCCCTAAAGCCCAAACACTAATTCCTAAGCTGGTTCAGGGATGTTTCCTGTGCTCCCATCTTTCTCTGCGCGCATGCTGGCGTCATGCGCGCTGCTCAGAGTCTGTCGTGCACTTGTACAGTCTAGGTTTTGCTAGGGAGGTTTGGGGATTTTGGAACTGTGAGTGTTCAGCTGAGTGCTGTTCGAATGTCGTTTTGGGCTTTGCGGCATTTTGGTGTGGTTCACGTGGTGATGGAATGAATGCTTTATGCTGAACGGCTTGGGTTCAGGGGTGAAAACCTCATTTAGAGTACTTTTCACGCTATTTTTATGCCCATGGAATTTCAACTATGGCCGCACAACCCTAAAGCCTGCACCCGCAACCCTAATCCTAAGCCCTAAAACCATGAACCCTAAACCCTAAGCCCTGAACCCTAAACCCCAAACCCCAAACCCCAAACCCCAAACCCTAACCCTAGACCCTCAATCCCTGAACCCATGAACCTCTGAGCAGGCAATGCGCCGCGGCAGCGGCAGCAACCATGCGACTTGCCACTCCGAGTCTTGCTGGGCTCCGTAGCTCGGGGTCTTGCTCATTCAGTTGAGAGTGTTTTTGACCCTAAGCCCTAAACCCGAAACCCGAAAAGCCTAAAATCCTAAACCCTAAACCGTAAAACCCTAAATGAACCCTGGTCCCTAGAAGCACATGAACCCTCGTCCCTAGAAGCCATAGGCCCCAGACCCAGAGCTTGGCTCAGCCCTTAACACCCAAATGCCCCAGAACCCCAAAAACCCTGAACCCTCAACCACAGGATTCATTAAGGTTGAGGGTTTAGGGTTTTGGGTTTAGGGTTTAGGCTTTAGGGTTTAGGGTTTAAGGAGTCATGGCGCTTAAGGCCCGCAGCAAAGACATTTCCACCCTGGACCCCTGAACCACCCTCACATAGCGATTGCACCCTAGAACAGGGTTTAGGGTTTAGGGTTTAGGGTTTAATTAGGGTTTAGGGTTTAGGGTTTAGGGTTTAGGGTTTAGGGTTTAGGGTTTAGGGTTTAGGGGAACCCGGGACAGGGGCCCTTTGCAGGATTAGGTATGGGTATTATGTGACCGCATCTACGAGTTGCTTAGGAACATCGTTTTCTTCCTAAATAAGGGTACTTCGCGATTGTTATTGTTATTATGATTATGATTATTGTTTTTTTTTTTTTTTTTTTTTGCCGGGGGGGGGGTTCTTCAGCAAATAGTAGTCTTGGAGGCATCTTTGGGCTTTCAGGACTTAGATTTTCTGGCGCTCTGCGTTTGGGGGTTGATGGTTTCGGGTTCGGGGGTTTTCGGCTTCAGGGTTTATAAGGTTTATGTTCCAGGTTTTAATAGTGAAGGGCGTGGGGTGTTGCACTGCTTCAAAAACCTCAAAGCGCTCACCCTTGTGAGCCGGTATCTCCTTCTCTTTCTCTCGCCTCGCTCCTCTCTCTCTCTCTCTCTCTGAATCTACCCTGAACCCTAAACCCTAAACCCTGAACTCTGAACCTGAAACCCTAAACTCAAGCCCTAGACCACCCTGAAACCTGCAAAGGCCGCGCTGGCAGATTGGACCCGGCGCCTTTCTCGCTTGGCCGCCGCGGGCGAGTGGCGCAAGGCACGGTTTCCTTGGTGGCCCAGTGGTACCCTTTTTCCGTTTTTTTTTGTTATGGGTTCCCTTATAAAGTAACCAACCAAAAAAAGGGGTGCCCTTATTTTAATATGGTGACTGGGCTACTAGGTTTCCGTTGCTGTGAAATAGTTGGGTCTCGGTGCTTGGGTTTAGGGTTTAGGGTTTGGGGTTTAGGGTGTAGGGTTTGGGGTTTAGGGTTTAGGGTTTTAGGGTTGAGGGTTTAGGGGTTTAGGGTTTAGGGTGAGGGAGCTGGGCTTAGAGATTTGGGGGTTGAGGGTTGAGGGTTGAGGGTGAGTGTATGGTTCAGTAGTTCAGCCTGTTTCGAGGAGTGGCGGATGATCGGTGTTGGGTACATGGATGGTCTGTTTGTTCAAGGCATCTGGCCCTCGTCCAGATGTGTCCCTCATCCCTAAAAGCCTCAACATGCCACAGCCTGCTTTAGGGTTTAGGGTTTAGGGTGTAGGGTTTAGGGTTTAGGGTTTAGGGTTTAGGGTAAACCCCTAAGCCCCGAAAGCCCCTAAACCCCTAAACCCTAACCCAAACTGAGGCCAAACCCTAAGCCCTAACGACGAAAACAGCCTGCTCTTACTATGCGTTTTAGAACGCCCTCACCCCCTCCCCCCCCCCCCCACACACACAAAAAAAACTTCAACACAGAAAAGATAGTAATCCCCAGAATACCCTTATAGGGAGATTATTGTCTTGGGGATGGACCCAAAACCCTAAACCCATACTTCGAAGCTCAGAGACCCGGGTACTCAAGCAACCAGTAGCCCTAAACCCTAAACCCTGAACCCTAAACCCTAAGCCCTAAACCCTAAACCCTACACCCTACACCCTACACCCTACACCCTAAACCCTGAACCCTGAACCCTAAACCCCACACCCTAAACCCTAAACCCTAAACCCTAAAACTACGGAGTGCTGCGCAGGCCCTGGCCGACCTGAGGCAGCTATGCCACCAAGAGGGCTTGCGACACGGCTCCGACTTAGGCATTGCTTCATTGTGGATTTTGTGAGGTTGGGCGGTTTAGGGTTTAGGGTTTAGGGTTTAGGGTTTGGGTTTAGGGTTTAGGGTCTAGGGTGTAGGGTTTTGGGTTTTTTCCAACCCTCTTGCCCTGAAAGTCAGCTGCGATAACTCGGTAACCTTCAATCCAAAGCCCGACACCCAAACTTGTTTCAGCCCTAAACCTAAACCCCAAACCCCTAAACCCTAAACCCTAACAGCCGTTTCGAAGGCAGCCCCACATCATGCCCTTCAGCGCTGGGGCCCTCAGTTAGACGTGTGGGTTTATGGTGTATGGCTCAGGGTTTATACCCCTTGTAATCCTGTCATGGATTTATCAGTATTGGTCTTCCTTTGTATTCCCTGTATAAAAGAACATGCGAACCACCCTAAACCCTAAACCCTTAACCCTTAACCCTTAACCGAAACTATTATACTTCAATAAGCCCCTCTTGTATTTTCCAGGGACTCCCAGCCGGACTGCGAGGAAAGTCTTAGCAGTAAAGGCTTTCGGGGGTTGAACAGTACGGCTTTTATGGGTGTTAAAGGCTTTGCCGAAGGGTTTCGCTAAACCCTGAACCCTGAACCCTAAACGCTAACCCTAAACCCTAAACACTAAACCCTACAAACCAGAGGTCTGCCTGCGCGCCTGCGAAGGGGCGGGGCGCTGGGGCATGGTGCTGCTCGAGCCCCAGCGGCTTCTGCTCTGCTCTGCTTAGGGCTAAGGGTTCAGGATTTAGGGTTTTGGCCTTAGGGCTTAGGGTTCAGGGTTCAGGGTTTGCGACTTAGGGGTTTAGCGTTTAGGACTTCGGGTGGTTGGCACCTATTTGCCGTTTCAAGGGTTGCACCTATGTGCCGTTTTAAGGGTTCCAGGTTCCTTCTTCAAGTAGCCAACCCAACAAAGGGTACCCGTATTGCGCTATGGTTACCTGGCCACCATGCCGCTTAGGATGCGTTGGGTTATAGGAGGGCGATGCATGGGGAGTAGGTGCTCAGGGAACCTTCAGGGAAGCTTAGGGAGCCTTAGGGAGTAGTCGGGAGGATAAGGGAACCTTGGGTTACATACCACCCTTGAACCCCCCTCCTTAAACACCCTAGAATAGGGGCTGGTAGAGGCGGTTCAGTCAGGATTGCAGGTCTCAGGGGTTTAGGGCTTTGATTGCTTATGATTGCCGCAATGCCTGAAGATATTTCTCTTAGGACTGTGGGACCCAAGTATACAATAATCACTACTTGGAGGTTCATGGGTAGTTATAGTGTTACAGGTGGGGTGAAAAGTAAGGCAACCACAGTTACAACTGGTCATAACCTTATTTAGGGCACTTGTAATCCTACTTCTAACTATCCATGAACCTTCAAGTATGGCACATGGACCCTTGGGGAGGGTTTCGGGTTTAGGGCTTTGGGCTTTGGGCTTAGGGTTTAGGGATTAGGATTTACGTAGGGTTTAGGGTTTAGGGATATGTGGCACATGGACCCTTCGGGACCCATTCAAGCTTAAGTTTTTGGAGCCCGTTGTCCCAGTCCCAGGTCCGGTCTGCTCGACATGTGGGACCGAGGACGGCTTGAAGTAGAGACTTTGGGAGGTTTCCAGTTTAGGGTAGGGTTCAGGGTTTAGGGTTTCGGGTTTCGGGTTTAGGGTTTGGAGATTGGGGTTTGGGGTATTGATCAGGGTGTATTGGATTTTGCATTTATGGTTTAGGGTTTGAATTTTACAGCTTCGTGCTTGTACAGGCTTGTGGGGTGCAGGGTTTGGGGTTAGGGTTTCGGTTTAAGGAGAGGTATGGGGTTTATGGTTGTCAATTGAAGATTTAGGGCCCCTAAACCCTAAACCGTTATGTATTCGTTATGGTGCTTTTGGCGCATGTTGTGAGTTTGAGGCCCTGGGCTTCGGGCCTTCCATTTCTCTCCCCGACTTAAGCTTCTGCAAGTGCGGCTCCCGAGATGGAGACCCTTGTTTGATGCTGATTTTTTTTATGGCAATAGGGTTTAGGGTTTTTGGCATGTGTTGAGTTGCTTAATGCTTTTCATATATATATATATATATATATTTGGGGGGGGAGGCGGGGCGGGGGAGTGTTCTGTTGGTATGGATGGTTTTATGTTGTCTGTTGCTCTCTTGTGTGCAGTTTTAAGTGCTGCTTGGTGCAGTTTCGGGCTTGGTGCGCAGGCCTCAAGGTTTGGAGTGTAGGGCTAGGGGGCTAGGCTGTGCGCAGGATTTGGTGTTCAGGGTTGGGGGTTGGGGTTCAGGTTTCGGGGCTAGGGTTTAGGGTTGGGTCGATTCAGAGGCTCTTGACCCATGTCGTGGAGGTTTTCACGTCGACTCCCTGGCCTACAACGTCCGTGGCTGAGTGCCAGGGGAGCCAGCAGACCTCGCCACCCAGCCACCAGCAGGACCTTTCCATACGAGAGGCCCCCCCAAGAGCCCCCAGAAGTGGATGTAGGATTATAGGGTCCCCAAACCCGAAACCCGAAACCCTAAACCCGGCCCTAAACCGTAGACCCTCGACTAGACCCTAGACCCTAAACCCTAGTCCCCTAAACCTAAACCCTAAACCCTAAACCCTAGAGGGCGTAGGGTCTCCCTCCACACACCTTTCTGCTCAGCAACCCTAAACCTTATGAGTTCTTTGCCCATTTTCTACGGAGGCAGATTGAGTTTGTTTTTTCGGAAGCAAGCCCTAAACCCTACAGTAAACTCCAGAAAGTTGGAAGATGGTTTAAGGATGAGCTCCGAGTCGTCTGGCTAGTCAAGCCCTTAAGCCAAGAACCCGAAATAAACCTTCCCAAAACCCTAAACCCTATACCCTCAACTGCAATTCTAACTCCTCATCCCTGCTTGAAGGTTCAGGGGCTCCAGTAGGGTTATTTCAGATACCCTAAATGAGGTAACCATACTTATCATTACCCATGAACCGTCAAGTAGACCCTCCGCACACCACAGCACTTTGTGGTGCTTTACTGTAACTTTAGATCCTTAGCCTTTTTGGGCTTGTTGGGTTTCCTAGAAAGGCAGCTAAAGGATTAATTTGTTTCCCTAAACTCCTAAACCCTAAACCCCAAAACCCCAAAACCCCAAACCCCAAACCCCAAACCCTAAACCCTAAACCCTAAACCCGAGAGCATCTCATGCTGTCAACCGGCCTTTCGGTTGTCACGAGGTCGGTCTGAAAGCCGTCCTCGCTGTCGACGACTGGGCCCGACTCCTTACTCAGGGCTAGTAGGGTTTAGGGTTTGGGGTTTAGGGTTTAGGGTTTAGGGTTTAGGGGTTCGGGGTTTAGGGGTTGGGGGTTCGGGGTTTGGGTCTGGGGTTTAGTATTCTGGTTTATGGCTCAGAGTTTTGGGTTCATCGATGGGTTAAGGGCGCATAGGGTCCAGGAGCCAGGGGCCCTGGGGGCCCAGGGTCAGCGGTAGGCTTCGTAGTTGGAAGTTGTGTGTTTAGGGAGTTTAAGGTTTAGGGTGTAAGGCTGAGGGCAAAAAACCGGAGAAACACGGGAAAACAGCAAGAACAGAAGCCAGGAAGAAGATAGGTCCACTCACCGCTGGCCATGGCCAAAGCACGGGTTTAGGGTTTAGGGTTTAGGGTTTAGGGTTTTGGGTTTAATTAGGGTTTAGGGTTTAGGGTTTAGGGTTTAGGGTTTAGGGTTTAGGGCACACCCCCCCCCCCTCTTTCACAAGTTCACTGTGTTTCTACGCTGGTTACACACGGTACCCTAAACCCGACAGCCCTTAAAGCTCGCGTCCCCAAAGGACCCTAAGCCTAAGCCCTAAGCCCTAAACCCTAAACCCTAAGCCCTAAACCCTAAACCTCAGAACGACCTTCTCAGAGGCGCGCGTGCTCACCACCTTTGACGACATGGTCTGTCGAGGCCCGCGGCGACGGGAAGGGCTGAGGGATGGTAAGGGTTCCGAGGTTTAGGGTTTTAGGGTTTAGGGTTTAGGGTTTTAGGGGTTAGGGTTTAGGGTTTAGGGTTTAGGGTTTGCTTTGACATTCAGGGTTGACGGACTTAGGGTTTTCTTTAGTGGTTCAGGGTTATTGGGTTTAAACTCTCGAAAGCCCAGGCATTCAAGCCCTGAGATGCAAAAGCTTGCAGAATCTTGGCGTGTTTTCCGGCTCATGGTTTGTAGTTTAGGGCCCTAACACATCTAAGGGGGCCTACTAAGCTGAAGGTAAAAGGAGTCACATGCACCCAAACCCTAAACCCTCAGCCCTCAAGGGTATATCCATACCTGATGACAAAACATGTCCCCAAAGCCTAAGCCCTAATCCCGAAACCCTAAACCCTAAACCCAAACCCTAAACCCTAAACCCTAGACCCTAAACCCCTAAACCCTAAACCCGAAACCCTAAACCCTAAACCCCCCCCCCTACCAAATCCGCAATAATCCGACATCCCTCCGCCAGGGGCGGCCCCGGTGGCCATGGACTCGAGCTGTAGCACAGCCCTGGTGGCAGCTCAAGCGGGGCCAGGATTTGGGTTTTAGGGTTTGGGGTTTAGGGTTTGGGGTTTAGGGTTTGGGGTTTGGGATTTAGGGTTTGGGGTTTGGGGTCTAGGGTTTGGGGTTCAAGGTTTGGGTTTAGAGGCTTGAGGTTTAGGGGTTTAGGGTTTAGGTTTTGGGTTTTGGGGGTTTGGAGGTTCGGGGGGTTGGAGGTTTGGCTGTGTGGGGTTTGGGGGTTTATGGTTTAGGATAAGGGCTTTGGGGGTTGAAAATTTAGTGCGTTGGGGTTAGCGTTTGGGGTGTGGGGTTAAGGGTCGTGGGTTCAGGGTTCAGGATTTCAAGCTTAGGCTTGGTGTTCAGCAGGCTGAAACGATGCGTTTCCTCTTGGAGCATGGTTCAGGACTTGGCGTCTTGGCTTCGGGCCGTATGAACCCCCTGAGCCCCCCCAAATAAACCGTAAACCCCATAGACCCCCTAAACCACAAACCCCGAAACCCTATACCCCGAGACCCGAAACTGCGACATACTGTAGGGCTCAGCATCCCAAGCGGGAACCGGACCTTCATACTGTATCCCTAAACCCTCCTAGACTCTTGCGTGCTTAAGAAGCTCCCCCAAAAAAAGACAAAAGTGGGAAACTCTTCCTTACAAGGGCAATATAAGTTTATATTGCACTACCCGATTCCGCAAACCCCAAGCCCTCAACCCCTAAACCCTAAACCCCTAACTTTTTTGGGGGGGGCTCCTAAGCATTATACTCTCGGCCCCTTGAACCCGAGTTCCAAAGGTGAATTTCATTATATAGCTAATATGTATTTGCAATTTAACAAATATTTAATGAACGTTCACTTTGAATTTAATGACAATTCAATCAGCATCTAGTGAGTGTTTATTAGTATCCATTTTTATGTGAATTCGTCAAACAGAATTGAATATTTTTACGTAATATTTATATCATTTTTTTAGTAGAAAGTACGATTTACTTCATACTTAACTGAATTTTTAGTTAATATTGGTTAAATTTTTGAAGTATAATACAATTAATATGTAAACACAATTTAATTAGTATTTACTTAAATATTTATTAAGACTTTAACAAATTTCTAATTATCAATGTTTCATTTTTGTTTAATTAATATTCAATTCACACCTAGTTATATAAATAACTTTAAATATATTTCATTTCATAATTTCACTGTAATTCAAATAATATGTATAACATATTTCATTATAATCATATTCATATTTAAGAGCCCTAAGCCCTAGACTCTAGACTCTAAACCCTAGGTTTCAGGTTTGGGGCATAAAAGTGAACCCTAAACCCTAAACCCTAAACGGGCAGGAGTCGCCTGGCAGTTGGTCGTCAACTTCCTCGCGGGGATGCGAAGGTCGGGTTTAGGGTTTAGGGATGGGGGGTTAGGGTTCAGGGTTTAGGGTTTAGGGATGGGGATTAGGGTTCAGGGTTTAGGGTTTAGGGATGGGGGATTAGGGTTCAGGGTTTAGGGTTTAGGGATGGGGATTAGGGTTCAGGGTTTAGGGTTTAGGGATGGGGGGTTAGGGTTCAGTGTTTCTGAGAAGGGTTTGGGGTTTAGGGTTTAGGCTTCACATTTTGCATGCTTCTGGGGACTTGGAGAGGCTAGGACCCAGAGTAGGCCCTTAGTCGCTTTGTTTTTTTTTAGGGCGGTGTAGGTTCCCTTCTAGGCACCTGAAATCCAAAAAGGAGCACCCTCATTTTGTCCTCGGTTACTCTTGGGTCTGGGAGGCTGGGGCAGGTTAGCATCACCAAGGCAGGTGTTTGCGCATGACATGGCCCGAAACCTGGGATGTTCCCCCCTGATACTAACGGTCCTTAATCGACTTTGGGGTTTAGGGTTGGGAGTATAGAACCCTCATTATAATCCCCATTAAGGAGTGTTAGTATGAGGGGAACACCCCAACCCTAAACCCTAAACCCCAAACCCTAAACCCTAAACCCTAAACCGCCAGATGTCTGGGAGCCGCATGGCATCACAAGCCTTGAATTTTGAAAAGGGCGTGCCTTGTGGACCTGTGGACCAGGTATACCCCAAAAGGGTTTTCATGGTTCAGATACCCTTCATAGGAATTGTAGGAGTGTAAGGGTCTATAATCCCAGTTGTAGCGTTCATTTGGTCCAGGGTGCTGGGGAAACCCCTTCCTGAAGGTTCATGGACAGTTATAAGTACTGCTACAAGTACCCTAAATAAGGGTACCACAACCAGTTATTACTATAGTGACCCTACTTTTTACCCGACTTGTATTTATAACCAGATAATTAGCCATGAACCTCCGAGCTCCCTCCCCTCTGGCTTGCAGGGGTGAAGTCGATCCTGGCACGGCGGGGTACAACACTGTGGCGACCTCGGATTGCTGACGAGCCCAGAGAACTCAAAGCTGTCATTGAACCCTAGAACCTAATCCCTAAACCCTCAACATCCCATCAGGCAACAGCGAGTAGTTTTTGCATAATATTCTGGGCTAGGTCTCGGGTCTATAAAAACACAGCCAGAAGAGTCGGGCCCTAATCCCTTATTCCTTAACCCTGCAACCCGGTTTAGGCTTCAGGTTTTAGGGTTCCGGGTTTAGGGTTGAACGCCCCAACACACAGCTGAGACCCTGAACGCTAAAGCCACCATAGACTGCAACCCTGGAGCGCAAGACTCCTAAACGTTAGAAGCCCTAAAGCTCGAAGCTCTACACCCAAAGCCCTAAAGCCTAAAGCCTAAACCCTAAACCCTAAACCCTAAACCCTAAACCCTAAACCCTAAACCCTCAACTCCAAGGCCTGAATCCTACACGGCCCTCGACTCCGCCAGGCACCCTGAACCCTAAACCCTCAAACTCTGCAACATGAAACCCTTAAATCCTGCAACCCTGAACCCTGAAGTCCTACAACCCTAAGCCCTTAAATCCTACAACCCTCAACCCCACCAGACGAGGCTCTTGCGGCTTGCATTCGTGCTGGCGAGTGGGCTGGAGCCTCGAATTTCCAGGGCTTAGGAAGAAGTAAGGGACTAGGGTTTAGTTATGGGCCTCCCTATGGGCTCAGGATTGAGGGTTCAGGGTTTGGGGTTCAGGGTTCAGGGTTTAGCAATTGAGGGCGTCCCTATCCCTGGGGGCCAAATGAACCCTAAGATTGGGGTCGAATACCCTACACTGTACTGCTATACCTCCTATTAAAATAATTTGTAGAAACCATAAACCTTTGTTAGGGCTCGTTTGGTCTCCAAGGATATGCATGCCACATAAATCTGGGTGCCACATCTAGGAAGCATCCTGCATGGATTGTCGTGTTCTGCTTTCTTGCCCAGATTAGGGTTTAGGGTTTAGGTTTTCGGGTAAAGGGTTTTAGGGTTTACCCTAAACCCTAAAGCCCTAAAGCTTGGACTGCTCGTTCATGCATGCTGCTTGGGCCCCTGCGTGCTGCCCGCTGCGCAGCAATTTGGAAAGCTTCCTCTGCGGGTTTACTTGCGTGCACCGCGCCTGTAAAGACGCAGGCGAGCCTACTTCTAGCACGCGTCCTGCAGAGAGCGTGCTGCATGGTCATTTTCTGTTTAGAAGGTGGCGTGCAGCTCGCGCACGTCCCACCACGTTCGCCTGGCAGCCAAAGCTCGTCGATGCAGCACTCTCGCGATCGCATCCCTGACATGCCCAGATACTGGAAAGTGATCTCTACACAGACGCACCAAGCAGCGCGATTTTGAGGCTTCATGTGATATGAGGTTGAATTCGAAGTGGAGTTAGGGTTTCGTGTTCGGGGTTCATTGACTAAGGAGCCTGTTTAGGCGACGGCATAAGGCATATGTAATCGATGCTTGTTGTAAGGGTGTAGGGCTGAGGCCTTGAGGACTTTATGCTGTGTACATGCTTGTACTTTGTAATTCCCTTAAAACCATAAACCCTACACCCTAAACAATCCCCCAACCCTGAACCCTAACCTGCCCTGAAAGACCTGAAAACCCATCTCCAAATGTCTCAGAACGCTCCAAGCAGCCCTGAGCCATAAGCCAATTTCCGGGCTTCATATCATTTGGGGTTTAGGGTTTTAGACGTCTAGGGTTTAGGGCCAGGGTCTAGGGCTAGGCCTTAGGGCTTCTAGAGGTCTGGGGCTTCAGGGTTTTTGGGCTTTGGGGCTTCAGGGTTTCAGGGTTTTAGGGCTTTAGGCTGTAGAGCGCTTTTGGGTTTCAAGGCTTTGGGGTTTTCGGGCAAGCACGAGGAGAGGGCGATCGGCCTCTTCTGTGACATGGAGAGGCCGGCACCTGGGAGACAATCCAAGACCCAAAACCCTAAACCCTAAGCCCTGGACCCTAAACCCTAAACCCCAAACCCCAAAACCCTAAACCCTAAACCTGAATCGAGGGTCTTCTTTGATGGCATACTCTGCCCAAAGTCTCCATTCCCTTCTTGGACCCCTAAAGTTGCACCCTTGGGCTCGGGACCCCATTCCTGAATATCCTCTACTACTATTTCCTTGAGAACCCCCAAAAAGGTGAAACAAAAACTAATCCCCTTATTACCCTTGCAGGGAAGAATATTTTCTATTTTTTGGGGGGGTTCTTAAGCAAACAGTAGCCCTACACCCTAAACCCTAACTTGTCAGGTGCTACAAGCGTAGATACGGGCCACATTCGGAGTATGTTAAGGGAACCTCTTGATACATCCCTAGGAGTCCAAGTTCGACTCCCGTGATTGTCAGTAAGTAGCTAGGGTTTCAGGTTTAGGGTTTAGGGTTTAGGGTTTAGGGTCTAGGGTGTTGTTTGCAGCTGCGCCAATGAGCGATTCAGCGCGTTGGGGGGGGGGGGGGGGGAGTAGAGTCACCAAACCCTAAACCCTGAACCCATTAGGGTTTAGGGTTTAGGGTTTAGGGTTTAGGGTGTAGGGACTTACGCCTGTTTCAGAAGGCTGCACTTACCCTCGGCCTTGGCCTCCAGTTGAAGTTGGCAAGGTGCATGCGAGTGGCCTTCCATGAAGGCCTAGGACCCAAACTAGGGTTTAAGGTTTAGGGTTTAGGGTTTAGGGTTTAGGGTTTAGGGTTTAGGGTTTAGGGTTTAGGCTACGGTTTAGGGTTTAGGGTTTAGGGGTTCCGTTGCAAGCCCCCTTAAACCAGAAAGGGCACCCTTTTTTTGATTCCGGTTACTCTTGGGTCTAGTGGCAATTCTACTTGATAGCCCAGCGGTACCCTTCTTTTGACATTTTGTTGGGTTCTAGGTTGCCTTGTAAAGTATCCAATCCAAAGAAGGGTCCCCTGATTATTCATAATCTGATAACTGTGCTGCCACGCCCAAGTAGGCTTACGTGTACCTTGTTTGTAGACCCTAAACCCTAAACCAGGCATAAGCACCCAAACGAACCTCCAGTGCAGAAACTCCGCATCTTCATGCGCAGCTGCTTCATTTCTACGGTTTCTGCTGACCCCAGAACAGGACCCCAAGATAATTTCCACCCCACATCCCTATACCTCTTATATAAACCGTGAATTATAAACGACCCCCAAACTCTCCTAAACCCTAAAGGCTGAACCCCAAACCCTAAACCCGAAACGCCGCATCTCTGTAACGCCAGACCCAAGGTGGCGAGTGGCGCCTGACGTGTTTACCTTCAGCAGCCTGATCTCCGGTGTCAAGGCGCAGCAAGCCTTCCCTACTAGGGAAAGAGAGAGTTACGGTTTTTATGGTTTTAAAAACAGAGGGATGTAGGGTACGTGATCTCTGGGCAAGTGACGACTAGATTCCAGCGACTAGGCGAAGCAGAACTTTTTTTCTGGGAGGGGTCCCTGCTTGCAGCCACTCTTTGATGCCCCCTAAGCCGCCGAAAATACGCCTCAACCTGAAACCCGAACCCGATGTAACTAATTCAAGAAGTTGCAGGAGCGGACAGCAAGAAGGACGAGGATTCTCTCACGGGCGATTGCAGGGTTTATATTAGAGGGTTTAGGGTTTTGCAGGGTTTCTACCTGTTTAGTCCTTACATTGATTCCTTCATCATGAAATTACATAGTGGCACCTTTTGTGATCAAGTCGTCCCAGCGCCGCCGCGGCCACCGCAACCCCCCCCACCAGAGCCCTTCACGTTGCTAGGTCTGACCCTAAACCCTAAACCCTAAACCCTAAACACCGCCGAAGCCCTGGAAAGGCGGGGGCCTGGCCCGAGAAGGCCTTGGACCTCTTTGGCGACCTCCGAGGCAGCTGGGTCTTCGACTGAAATCCGGAGCCTCAGGGTCGAGCCCCCTTATTTCCTTTTGTGTTCAAAATTACCCTAAACCCTTTAAACCCCAAACCCTAAACCCCAAACCCTAAACCCTAAGCCCTTCTTTGTTCCTAGGTTGCATGGCCAGAGGGAGCAGACTGTTAAGTGGCCAGCTGCCCAAGCCCTAAACCCCAAACCGCAGACCCTAGAAACGCTAAACCCCTTCGCCATTTGAATTTTGTTGCCCTCTTTTCAATATTTCCCCATGTGGGTGGTTGTCAAAAATATGATCCCTTTTGGGGTACCCTAAGTACTAGGCCCCGTATTTCAATAGGGATCCAAAACGGGACCATAAGTTTGACAGCCACCCATGTGGAGTTTCTGCTAAGGGTCCATTCAAGGGATGTGCTTGGGAGAAGAGTCCCTGACAGGGGACCCCTACCATTTACTGGGCTTTGGAGTACTATACTTTAATACTTTTTTTGGTTTTGGGTTCCCATGATAGCTACTTATACCTAAAAAGTGTATACTTTTTTCTGGGTCTACTCCAGAGGTAGGTTAAGCCCTAAACAAGGTATGTTGAACAGCTGCCATCTTTTCAGGAAGCCTAAAACCTCCGCCCTAAAACCTGATCTCAGAAAAGCATGTTTTGGGTACTTAGAAAAGGGCAGTCATGTACCCGTAGAAGTACTAATGCATGGAAGAACAGCAACCCTCACTTTTCGCCTAAACTGTGCAAAGCCGACCTGGGGAATCTGTAGAGCTTGGGAGTCCGAGGTAAAATGCAAAAACTTTAGGGTTTAGGGTTTAGGGTTTAGGGTTTAGGGTTTAGGGTTCAGGGTTTAGGGTTTAGGGTTTAGGGTTTGTGTTCCCCAAGAAAAGGGACTTTCATTTTCAGCACTGACCACTTGGAGGTTCATGGGTAGTGACAAGTGGGGTTTAGGATTTGGGTTTAGGGTTTAGGGCCACTTGGAGGTTCGCGGGTAGTTATATGTGGGGTTGTAAGTAGGGTGACTATACTTTGCCTGGCTACAATCTCATTGGGTACCTATAACCCTGCTTGAAAACTACCCTTGAACCTTCAAGTAACCCGAAGCCCAAAGCCCTAATTAAACCCTAAGCCCTAAGCGCTAAACCCTAAACCCTAAACCCTAAACCCTAAACCCTTATCCCTACACCCTAAACCCTAAACCCTAAACCCTAAACCCTGAACCCTGAACCCTGAACCCTGAACCCTGAACCCTGAACCCTGAACCCTAAACCCTAAACCCTCAAGCAGGCAGGCGGCTTGCGGCCGACAGCGTGCTGGTGAATGCGGCCATCTCTGCAGCCTCCACCGGGGAGGCGGGTTTGGAGTTTTGGGTTTTGGGGGCTAGGGTTTAGGGTAGAGGGGTTAGGGGTTTAGGGTTTAGGGTTTAGGTTTTAGGGTGTAGGGTTTAGGGTTTAGGGTTTAGGGCCTGCCCTAAACCCTAAAACCTGCTGGGGTCTGAGGTTGGTAATGATACGGGTTTAGGGTGTATAGGGTTTAGGGCCATACGGAACTGTTGCCAGCATGTCTTTCGTTGATGTGACGTTAAACCTTCATGCCCCAAAAAGACCGAAGTAGGTAGGTCTAAACTCTGTAGCGTCCTTTCTGAAGTCGTAAACCCCGGACCCCAAAGTAGATGTGCTTCGGAGGCTCGGAGCCTTGGAGGGTCGACATTTGGGTAGTTTACATCATGAGGATTACATGTAGGAATATTTGTCAGAAGGTTTTTAGGGCACCTCCGTCGAAGCTCCATCAAAAACGTGCATGGACCCTTTGGGATATATCCGGGTTGGGGATGTAGACAACCTTAGCCCGCCAAGGTTCTACTATATCCTTTTTTATAACTATTTTTGTTTATACAAAACCCAAGAGGATATTAACAATATTTTATTAAGGTTCTAAGGGGGTATAGTCTAGTTTGGGTGGGCATAAGCTGGCCCCATCTGGGCCCCCAACCCAAGAATTTCATGGGCCGAGCGCATATTGCCTGGAACCCTAAACCCTGAACCCTAAACCATCCTAAACCCTAAACCCTAAACCCGAAACCCTACGTCCCTAAACCCTAAACCCTACATCCCTACATCCCTACATCCCTAAACCCTAAACCCTAAACCCTAAACCCTAAACTTGGGCCTCCGGTGGAGGCGGGCCTCATCCTGCTGCATGACATGCTGGAGGAGGACCTGGGACCCAGAGTAGGCCCTTAAACCCCTTTTTAGGGTTTACGGTTCAGGGTTTAGTGTTTAGGGTTTAGGGTTTAGGGTTTAGGGTTTAGGGTTTAGGGTTTAGGTTTCAGGTTTTAGGATTCTTGAGTTCTTGGGTTCTTGGGTTCTTGGGTTCTTGGGTTCTTGGGTTTAGGTTTTAGAGTTCTTGTGTATAGGGGTTGAGTTTAGGGTTAAGGGTTTAGGATTTTGCAACTTCCGGGCCCACGTTTAGGGTTTTTAGGGTTTTTGGGCTGTAGGGTTTAGGGTTTTAGGCTTTAAGGGTTTTAGGCTTGAAGGGTTTTAGGCTTTAAGGTTTTAGGCTTTAGGGTTTGGGGTTTAGGGTTTAGAGGTAACTACAGTTCCAGGATTCCCCAAAGACTGCCGCGAGTCCTCAATCCCCGAAGCCTAAGCCCTTTTGGCAAAATGCATGGGCGACACCTTACACACACAAACACTACAACCGTAAACCCTGAAAGGTCGGGGGTGGGGTGGGGGGGGGGGGAGGGTGGGGGGCGCTAAACCCTAAACCCTATACTCTTAACCCTAAACCCTAAACCCTAAACCCTAAACCCTAAACCCTAAACCCTAAACCCTCAACCCTAAACCCTAAACCCTAAACCCTAAACCCTAAACCGTAGAGCAAGCAAGCGCTCAGCGCAGAGGAGCTGCGACCCGATCTCTTCACCTACAGCAGTGTGCTCGACACTCTGGCGGCCGACGCGAGGCTGGCCTCAAGTTCTAGGGATATGGGAGGTTTACAGGGTACAAACCCTAAACCCTACACCCTAAAACCCTAAAACCCTAAACCCTACACCCTAAGACCCTAAACCCGAAGCCCAACTCTCCTAAACCCCATACTTTCTGAACCTTGCGGGCCTGGGGCTGTAGGGTCCTTATGGTGTTAGGGTTTCGAGTCTTTGGGGTTCAGGGCTCAGGGGCTGATACGACTTGCAAGGGCTTCTAGCGTAAACGCCCTAAATCCGAAACCCCGAAGCCCTGAAGCCCGCATCCTGAAGCCTAAACTCTTCAACCCTAAACCCTAAACCCTCAGCCCAAACCCCTAAAGTTGCAACTGCATGGGCCGCTAGAATTCCATCAGCCCTCTCTGAACCCCACCCACACCCCCCCCACCCCCCACGGCCATAAAAATAGCGTTTCGGACCCTCCCCCCCCCATTGCAAGGCCTTCAGACGCCAGTTAACATGGCCTTTCACGTACAGCACCATGGGCACATGGTGGAGGCTAAAGCCCTGCACCTAGGGTCAGTCCACGTTGCCTACAGCTTGCCCCGGCAGAATAATGGCAGCCTAACCGCCGGAAAGTTTAGCTCAACATACTACGGGGGTGGGAATAACTACCAAGAGGATTCCCGCGTGGTCCCGAAGTATCTAACTGACTATACTAAACTACTCCCCCTGTTCTAATTCGTGAGGCCCCAGCCTTATACTGCAGAGCATCGTTGTCCCCGGGCAGGTGGTCTGATGCTGTGGACTTGGTGGAGGAAGCCAGAGGGTTTAGGGTTTTTAGGTTAGGGTTTAGAGTTTAGAGTTTAGGGTTTAGGGTTTAGGGTTTAGGGTTTAGGGTTTAGGTTCTGGGGTCTAGGGTGTCGCAAGGGAGGTGGGCTGCGGCCCTCTAGGGTTTCGGGTCTAGGGTTAGGGGTTTAGGGTTTGGAATTTGGGGTTTAGGTACTGGGGTTTAGCGCACCTTTGAATCACAAGCCTCGAGAAGACAAGGTGGTTGGGTCTAAGCACAAACCCTAAACCCTTAACCACCCTTAGCCCTTAAACCCTACTTGGGGGGTTCATGGGTTATTCTAGTATAAGTGGGGTTAACGTTATCAGTAGGCTAACTATAGTTATAACTTGTTATATCCTGATTTTGGGTACTTATAGCGCCACTGATAACTACCCATGAACCTTCAAGTGAACGGCAACCCTAAACCCTAAACCCTAAACCCTAGACCCTAGACCCTAAACCCTAAACCCTAAACCCTAAACCCTACCCTAAACCCTAAACCCTAAACCCTAAACCCTAAACCCTAAACCCTAAACCCTAAACCCTAAACTCAAGCCCAGGACCTTCGCTTCCGCGGACTGTATCCAAGCAACGCAGTGGCCAGCACATTGTTGCCCGGCTTGGAGTGGGGCAGAGAAGTCAGGGTTCGGGGTTTAGGGTTTAGGGTTTAGGGTTTAGGGTTTAGGGTTTAGGGTTTAGGGTTTAGGGTTTAGGGTTTAGGCTTAGGGTTTAGGGTTTAGGGTTTAGGGTTTAGGGTTTAGGGTGGCGCTTTTGGGCGGATCGGGTTTAGGGTTTCGGGTTAAGAGTTTAGGGTTTAGGGTTTAGGGTTGAGGGTCTAAGCCCTATGCCTAAGAGACGAACGTCATCTAACGCCAAAGACCCCCCATGCCCCTCAATTCAGGAATATTCTTTAGAACAGGCTTTGAAACTCGGCTCCTTGTCCCTTTTGTCGTGCTTTGGGGGTTTTAGCGTTTGAAGGTCTAGGACAGACAAACCGACTTGAACAAAAGTTTGTTGCGTTGGTTGATAGTGGGGCTATCCATGCCCTTCGTGCAGCGGCCGAGGACTACGAGTTTTTCACGAGCGTCTCCAGTTGTGGTGGTTTAGGGTTTAGGGTTTAGGGTTCAGGGTTTAGGTTTTAGGGTGTCTTTGGCGGGTCAAGAGACGACCGCCATGCGCATTTCCTCTACCGGCACGCTGCTCATGCCGCTAGCGTCCAGGAGCTCGGCTGCCGCTTGGAATGGACCTCCTCACGTACGGTAGCCTGACCCTTCCGAAAGATGATCCTTGCCCACACGACCCCAACCCTAAACCCTACAAGTAGACCCTACGCCCTAAATCCTAAAAACCATAGACTCCAAACCCTAAACCCAAGCCCTTCAAGCCCCACAAAGACCTCTTTTGCCTTCAGTCATCTTAAACCGATGTGCAACCCTCAAGCCCGAAACCATGTTCAACCCTTTAAGCCGTCTTGAGCCCTTGAAACGTAAAACCTCTGGTCCTAAAAGGGTTTTGTATCTGGGTGTGGGTTTAGGGTTTAGGATTTACTGGGCTGTGCTTTGGGAGAATTCTTAATTCCCCTGCTTCCTCTTTTGAGGGAATTCTATTCATAAATCATTTTCAAGGGGTTTCTTTGCAGCCCAGTGGTACCCTTTTCCCCTTTTTTTGGGTTCAAGGTTCCCCTATAAATCACCAACCAAAAAAGGGGTGCCCTTATTATGATATGGTTACTGAGGTACCAAGGCTTAAAGCACCCTAAACCCTAAACCCTATAAGCCCCAAACCCTAAACCCTAAACCCTAAACCCTAAACCCTAAACCCTAAACCCTATCACTCAGTTTGGGGTTTAGGGTTTTCGAGTTGGCTGCTGCCAGGCTTCCAAAGGCCCCATGGGCTGCGGCGCTGCAGCTCTGGGCGGAGGCACAGAAGGCCTAAACCTTAATCCCTAAACCCTAAACCCTAAACCCTAAACCCTGTCTTCAGTTTAGGAAGGAATTGGAGTAGGGCTTAGGGGTCACTTCCCGCAGCAGAGCTGCAAGCGTGTCGGGTTTGACCCTTCCTAAGCTGCAAACCCTAAACCCTAAACCCTGGATCCATACATCATACACCCTACACCCAAACCGTAAGCATTGCGCAACTAATGGATAGAGCTGAACGGCCTGAGTTGGGGGTCTGGAGGGTCTAGACCCGGGTTTAAAGGGTTTAGGGGTTGACGGGGTTTAGGGGGTGAGGGTTTAGGGCTTGAGGGGATTTATACGGTACAAAGTACACTCTAGGACGTTCACAAGCTTGTCAAGTCATCCAAGTACTGTAAGGACATGGGTTATATGGCTGATCGTGAACCTTCCAGGAAGGGGCTTCTTTTGAAATGAAGTTCCATGAAAGTTCTAGGGAGCGTGTGCAGTTTATGTAGATAGGCCGAACATGAGGATCAACGCGCATGCTTAGGCACAGTCTTCGGGTAGCCTGATTTTAACGTAGCAACATAATGCCAAATAGGCAACGAACACCTGAACCCTGAACAGCACATCCTAACCAAACCCTACACCTCGGCCCTCAAGCCCTCGAGCCTGAGTTTCTTGTCAGTCACTGTTGTTTTCGTTCAGGTTAGGGTTTAGGGTTTAGGGTTTAGGGTTTAGGGGTTAGGGGTTAGGGGTTTAGGGGTTTAGGGGTTTAGGGGTTTTTCGGGTTCGGGTTTTATGGTTTGGGGTCCAGGGTTTTGGGGTTAAGGTTGTAAGAATTCCCCTGAAGTTGTAGGTAGAGTGCAAAAATGTAGGCGAGTGGAGTCTCAGGTGCAGCCTGACACCTCCCAAAGACAACCGCGCCTCAACTGCCATCCTTCTTATTAACCCTCGCTTGGAGGTTCATGGATTTAGAGGAGGTTATTCCTAGGGCAACTACAAGTACAACGGGTTAGGACCTACTTGTAACTACCCACGAACCTTCAAGTAGCCCCAAACCTTAATTACACCCTAAGCCCATTTCTGGTGTCAGTTCTCCAAACCATGGCCGCCATGGCCCTTTACAGGTATTCGACCCTACGCAGACGAGGCTGTACGGCAACAAAGCACTGGCCACATCGTCCTGGTCTCCTCCTTGTTAGAATCTCTTTTCGCCCTGCACCCTAAACCCTAAACCCTAAACCCTAAACCCTAAACCCTAAACCCCAACTCATAAATCTCCTATCTCTGTGATATTCCCTAAGCATTAACCCCTGAGCTTCAAACCTGATACTTATAGGGTGGGGTGGAGTGGCGTTTAATGAGGTTTTCTGGAGGGGGGGGGGGGTATTCAAGCGGGGTGGAAAGGATTTTGAGCCCCTTTCTATGATAACTGATGTATAAATCGAACGCCCTCTTCTCTGCGGGTCTAGAGTTTACGCCTGGGGGTGGTCCCAAAGTTTAGGCAGGATTTTAAAAGCAAACCTAACTCCCTAAACCATCTAAGTATATGGATAGGGTCCCCTTTTCCCCATACTAAGGCGACACCTTATCATGAGGACCCTAAAAGAGAGACCCTAATTTAGAGAACCTGCCCTAAACCCTTAACCCTAAACCCTAAACCCTATACACTAAACCCCTAACCCTAAAGCCTAAACCCTCTACCCATACAGCAAGTGTGGAGAAGCGAGAGGCAAAGCGCGGTTTGGAGCCGGACCAGGCAGCGCCGGCTTTTGTTTCGGCACTTTGTGTACTTTTCCGTGGTTTAGAGTTTAGGGTTTAGGGTTCAAACGCTTCAGGGTGTTCGGCAGGATTTGTGGCCCCACCTAGTAGTCCATGTGCGGGGGAATGTGGTTTAGAAGAAGCCCTCGAAAAGATGCTTGGAGGTTCATGGACAGCTTATGCTGGGCAAGTTCAGGGACCAGCATTTCCCTATAAACCCTAAGCCCTAAACCCTATAGTTCACGAAGTATGGACAGCAGATCCAAAAACGTCGAACCAACTGTAGGGTTTTGAGTTTGCGGTTTTCGACATCCATACATTTTGGTTTAGGGTTTAGGGTTTAGGGTTTAGGTTTTAGGGTTTAGGGTTTAAGGTTTAGGGGTTACTGGTTCAGCCATGAGCAAACCGTTCGGCCCAGAACGAAAGTGTTGGTCCAACATTCATGGCAGACTCTCACCGCCCCCCCCCCCCCCCCCCCCCCCTTGAGGGTTTAGGGTTTAGGGTTTAGGGTTCAGGACCCAAGCCCACAACCCCAATCGCCAAACCCACCTTCGGCTTGCGGGTCTTATGTTGGGCTTATGGGCTTCCCACCACTTCCGCCCTAAAGCTTCAATCTACACCGCTCAGCCCTGAACCCCCTCTTAGAACCCCCGCAGCCCAAACTGGTTTAGGGGTTAGGGCTTTGGGTTTAGGGTTTGGGGTTTAGGGTTTATTGAAGCTTCAATTAAGTAATCCTTGATTGACCCTTACGAAGCTCTAGACAACCCCAAGCGACCCTAGGAGCCTAGGAGCCCGTAAGACAATTTTTGAGCCTTTGAAACCCCCTAGGCTTCTTGAACCCTAAACCCTTAACCCTCAACCCCAAACCCTCAACCCTAAACCCTACACCCTTGGGACTTTTGGCCCAAACAGGTGCTTTGCGGGGCCCACCTTGCATCCTGGGAGGAGGGCTATCACTGGCAGCAGGTCGGGAAGAAGGGTGGTTTAGGGTTTAGGGCTGTGGCCCTAAACCCTAAACCCTAAACCCTAACCTCTAAACCCTAAACCCTCAACCCTAAACCCTAAATCCTAAACCCTAAACCCTAAACCCTGAACCGTAGTAGGGCTTTAAGGGCTGTAGGCTTTGGATCCGCGGTTTGAACCCCCTGAAGCCTTAACTCAACAGTCCTTTGAACGGCAGGCGTGCAAGATGAGAGAAGAGCTCAAGGCCCTAAGGCTCCCGAAGTGTTTAGGGCTTGGGGTTTAGGGTTTAGGGTCTAGGGTTTAGGGTGTAGGGTTTGGGGCTGAGGGTTCAGGGTTTAGGGCCTAAGTATGTACTATTTTAGTACACGGACCCTTTTGGGGAAGAGAACCATCATCCAAAGGTTTGTGATTGCAACCAAGCGTGAAGGCTCCTGGACATTTTTCGTCAGGGCCCAGCTTGCATATTTCGTTTGTTTAGGGTTTAGGAAGCCCTAACAACCTCCCCCCCCCCCTCCCCGCCACCAAAGAAACCTGGCTGCTGCAAAGCATCCATGTCAAGAAGCTTAACCCCTAAAGCCTGCAAGGCTCTCAACCCTTAAAACCTCTAAGTCCATAAAGCCCGCAAACAAAGCTGAGCCCTAAACCCTAGACACTAAACCCTAAACCCTAAACCCTAAACCCTAAACCCTAAACCCTAAGCCCTAAGCCCTAAGCCCTAAACCCTAAACCCTAAACCCTAACCGGTGTCTCAAGCCAGCCCCCATGGCACTGCGAGGCTCTTGGCTCGATGCGGCGGCTGGGACGCAGGGAGAGCCCCCAGCGAGATGTTTGTTTCTGTTTCGGGGTTGAGGGTTTAGGGTTTAGGGTGTAGGGTTTAGGGTTTGGGTTTGGGTTTTAGGCTTTAGGCTTTGGGGTTTAGGGTTTAGGGTTTGGGGACTAGGGTTCAGGGTTTAGGGTTTGGGCTTGGGGGTTTAGGGTTTGGGGTTTAGGGTTTAGGGTTTGGGGTTTAGGGTTCAGGGTTTAGGGTTGGGGGTTTAGGGTTTGGGGCTTAGGATTTAGGGTTTGGGGTTTAGGGTTTAGGGTGCTTTGGCATGCTCCCGGGCAACTATCCTTAACCCCAAAACCCACACCCGAAGCCCCAAGTCCTAAGCCCTTGTCCTCTCAGGTGATCTCCGCTTCTCAGGGCTTCTGAGAAATCAGTAGATTTCAGGGTTGGTCGAGGGGCAGACTGGCAGACCATCGAGCATCGAGCCGGATACTGTACCCGAAAGATCGGCAACAAGAAGCACAGCAAGCCGAGGGACAACGCAGGCCACGGTTGAGGGTTTACGGTTTAGGGTTTAGGGTTCAGAAGCACGTTATCGCCAAGGATATGGCTGTCGGCGGCACCATACGGCCGGGGGCAAGATCTGAAAGCCACGACGCGGGCCGCGGGCACGAACAGCTTGACCCCAGCACTGCTGACTTTTATCGGGGCCCAAATACAACACATAAATCATAATGGTTGGTGGTCTCTTTTGGCAGTTTTTTTTCTGTTTTGTAGTGGTTCTTTTTAGGGTATCTCAGGGCTAGAGTCATAATTAAATCAAGGTATAAAGGGTACAGATAAAGAGACCACCGGCCTTTCTAACACATAAACATAAGGATCGTACAAAGAAGGGTTTTCGGAATCCCCCTTATCGGGGCCCTTATCCCCAATAGTAGGATCCTCATGTTTATGTGTCTTTTTGGGCCACTATTTTAGATGCGTGCATGGCCAAAATGTTTGGCCCTCTGAGCCGAAGTAAAAGTTAACCTATATAGGGCCTTTGTGACTCTGCTTAGAATTGATGGAGCCCTCCTTATAGGGTTCGGGTGTAGGGTTTAGGGTTTAGGGTTTACCCAGGTGGATGCAGACGGGGCATCTGGACCTCACCGACGTGATGCTGGGTTGCATTTGCTGGTCAAGATGTAGCATGACATGCCTAAGCCCCTAAACCCTAAACCTCTAAACCCTAGACCCTAGACCCTAGACCGTAAGCCCTGCCTGAGCCCTCATTAACCTATTTAGAGGTGCATGATCGCACGAGTTATGAGTCGCAGCATCGACTTCCAACGACAACCATAAGACCCACACCACACCGTTTTGGTCATGAAACCACACGGGGACTCCATACTTTCAGGCCACATTAGTAACTTTCGATCCTTTTGGGATAGTCTGATGTGATGTTTCAATGTGGTGACCTTTAGTTCGCCTGGGACGCGAGACAAGCTGGCAATAGAGTTTAGAGGATTGAGGGGTTCTGGGTGGAGTTTGGTCTAAGTAGCGGCCGCCTTGGGGCGCACATCAAAGTACATATTCCGCGTTTAGGTTTCCAAAAGCGTCCGTCATTTTGATCCACGGCACGTGCAAGCAGGAGAACTCTTGCTCATGGTGTTTTAAAACCTCCCTTCAGATGCATTTGACGCTACATACCTCCAGGCCCTAAACCCGAAACCGTCCGTAAACCGGAACATCACGCCTGAGGAAACCTGTCTCAGTCTTTGGGGTCCCGCGGATTCATGCCCTACATGTTTCTGCTTTAATTAGAGTTGATGCTTCCTTTTTTGACCATGTCTTTGGCCCCAAGTTTGAACATGTTTTTAGGCCCCAAGGGGACAATAACATGAAAGGTGAGTTCTGGGCCGCAGGTTTATGAGGGCTTTCTCAGGCGCATAACGGTTGTACGGCATCGAGCTTTTGGGGTTAGGGTATAGGGGTTTAGGGTTTAGGGCTAGGGTTTTGGGTTTTGGCTTTCGGGTTTAGGCTTTGGGGTTTAGGGTTTGGTGAGGCTCCATCGTTTGGATTGAGAGTTCAGGGTGTACTGGGTTTCAGTGTACTAGGGATTTAGGGTTTAGGGTTTAGGGGTGTTAGGGTATTCTCAGGGGGCTTTGAGAGAGAGCCCGAAACCCTGCGAGGTAGGCCCTTGGGCCTTGGGATGTTTCATCTCTTTCCCTTATTGGGTGTAAGAGGGTCATAGTTAGCAGTTAGGGATCTGTTTCAGAGTGTGTAAGGGCCATCCTAGCCGAAACCCTAAACACGCCCCAGGGCCTTCTCCTCTGGAATCCTGGTCTGTGCCAATGCCCGACGTGCCTCGGCTGTCGATGTTGGTTTAGGGTTTAAGGTTTAGGGTTTAAGGTTTAGGGTTTAAGGTTTAGGGTTTAGGGTTTAGGGGGGTTAAGGCATTCTTGGGGTAGTCATGGTGTTTGGGTTCCGGTTGCGATGGCTAAAGCAGCGGTGAAGCGTGGCTGGAATATGCTGGATGGATACTCGGCGCTTGCCCCATGCGGCGCCACAAGAGAGTGGCCGTTGTTCAAGATTCGACCGAAGCTGCACATAATTGGTCACATATTAAAGAGCATGGCAAAGCAGGGCCCATACACTTCAGGGGTATAAGGAGGGACCCCTAGAGGGGACCCTTAATCTTGTTCCCCTATGCAACCCATATAAAGCGCCTCTATATACCTTATCTATAGTCCCTATGTACATAAATAACCCTTTTATCACCCCTCAGGTCCCTTACAAGGCTTGATACACCCCAAACCCTAAACCCTATACTACGAATTGCCCCTGCTAAGGGTAATATTGTGATTAGTATTTCTTTATTGTTTACTATTTATATATATATATATATATTTTTTTTTTTTTAAAGTTTTTTTAGGGGTTGTACCCTGAGAGCCCGATGCCATATTGTCAGGGTCTCTGGGTTGGGCGTTTTTAGGCGTCGCTCTCACAATATTAAGCGGCAGCCTCTTAGGGTTCTTAGGGTCATAGGGGTTTGAGGGTTTTTAGGGGTTTTAGGGGTTTAGAGTCTTCGGGTTTGGGGGTTTTAGGGCTTTAGGATTTTAGGGTTTAGGGTTTGGGGCTTGCGAAAAAAGGGGGCCCCCAAAATAAACCCACAAATGGTAGGATTCCCTTGTAATCAGGACCCAGAATAAGGTACCCCTAATTTCGGAAACCCCCACATCTGTATCCATGTATACATGATGAATTTGCAGACGTGGCTCAGGGTTTAGGGTTTCGGGTATACCGATACGATTTCTTCATACATTCCAGATTTTACTTGTTGTTTGACAAGCTTGTTCCTTGTTATTTCTGGATTGGGTCTTGGTGTTTTCTAGTTTTTCCTGACCGGCACCCGAGACCAGTAGTTTAGGGTTTAGGGGGGGTGTCTGCGGATGGGGTCTGGGTTTCTGGTTTCGGGTTTAGGGTTTAGGGTTTCGGGTCTAGGGCTTAGGGTTAGTTTAGGGTGGGTTCTGCGCAAATCCTACATGAAGGTCGCGGCTAGTTCTAAGTATGGCTGTGAGTTACCTATATGAGATTGTAACTTGTTATAACTATAGTTGCACTTATCCTTCGATCACCAAGCCCTAGACTCAATCTCCTGACTCCTCACGTAGGTTTATTTTTTGTGTACGCCTTCACGATGTTTTGTTCGATACATGTGCTCTCTCTCTCTCTCTGTATTGTATGTATACATATATATATATATATGCTTGTGCTGGTAGTTGGAAATTGTGTCTGATTGATATTCAAGTGTTGCTCGGGCCCAAGTGATGGTACCCCTAAGGGTCCATGTACCTCAGAATTATATACTTGGGCCCCAAAGTCCTTAAACAGGAAGTACTTTAAGGGCCAAGTATTCCCTATTTAGGTACATTGTAGCCCTAAACACTAAACCCTAATCCGTGGAGTACTAGCGGAATGGAGCTGCTCAGGTTGGCCAGAGGCCGCCATTCTCCTTGAGCACATGGAGAACTCGTCGATGAAGCCGGCAGCGTCCAATTACGCAGCTGCGTTGGCACAGGGGTTCATGCTTAAGAGTAGATGGTTTAAGATCTTGAACCTTGAACCCCAAACCCTAAACCCTAAACTCTAGAACCTGAGGGTTTGGCCTTTGCGGCGTTTGGGCATCTGGTGGTTGAGGGGGTCGGGGTGGAGATCGATTCAAAGACGTTTTGTAGGCCTCAAAGCGTGAACCACAGACCCTCACGCGCGGACCGCGCATGCCTTCTCCATGTGTACTTTACTTTGCTTTCTGTGGCTTTGTTTTGTGGTTTCTTTTTTCGTCGCAACTGCATTTTTGATTTTTATGTTTGTGTTTTCAATTTTCTCTCTCTCTCTCCTCCTCATCGTACCTGAAGTTATCCTATCCCATCTCATCTTATCCAACCTTACCTTACCTCAGCTGGGCTTTGTCTTATCATCGAATTCCTTTCATATCTTATCTTCTCTTAGCTTCTATAGATCTTGGCTTCTCTCAGCTTGTGTTTCCTGCTCAAAGAGATGACTCAATTCTGAGCCTCGTCTTGACAATGCCGTCTTTGAGGAAGCAAACCTCTGGGGCTCCAATTACACAAATTACTACCTACTTTGGGATCTAACGTCTACGAATCCATACCCTCTTTCGCATCCAAATTGTGTGAACTGTACCTACTTTGGGTTCCGAAATCTAAGAAAAAGACCTGCTTCGGGATCGAGGAGTCTGCAAATCGTCGTGCCCTGAAGCGGGACATGTGGAGCCTTAGGGAACTAACAGATGTAGGGTTGGGCGTTGGGGGCCTTCGCCAAAACCCCCAGCCCGATCTCCGTAGCGCTCAACACTTGACCCTCAACCATGAACTGGCCCAGAGCCCTGAACTCTGAACTCTGAAGTCTACGCCTCGAGGGTTTAGGGTCTGTAGGGTTCAGGATTTTTGGTTCAACCCCAAACCCCAAAACCTTGAGACCTCTGCCTTAAATTTCAACTCCCAGCCCGAAGCCACGCGGAGCTGCACAAAACCCTTACACTTTGTTTCTCTCTTCTTTTTGCCCCCCCCCCCCCCCCGAATCTCTCTTTCCTTCTATATAGACACGTATATACATATATATATATATATATCATATATCATATATACATGTATGTACACATACATACACGTATGTGTATGTATCTCTCTCTATGCATATATATATATATCTATAGTAAATATGTGTATGAATAAATCAAAAACTGCATATATATATATATACATATTATTCCCGCGAGCCTAAACCATGATCTCTTGGACTACGAGGCCCTGGTCCTATCTGACCTGGAGCAGCGCGCCGTCGCCGGAGCGGAGGCAGAGCTCATGAGCCGCCACAGGGCACAATAAGGGTGTTGGCCTTGGGGGTTTAGGGTTTAGGGTTTAATTAGGGTTGAGGAAAATTAGGGTCTATAAGCTTCAGGGTTTAGGGAAGGTGCTAGGTTGGTTGAAGGTTTCGGACTTGGGGTTCGGTGGTTGAATTTTCTCAGAGATTTCGGAGGGCTCTCAGAGGCTTTTAGGCTGAGGTTTCAGGGCTTTGGGATGTTCTTTCTTTGTGTTCGGTTGTAGGGAGTCGTTTCTGTTGTCGTTGTGTGTTCTTCACACTTTTTCAGCTTCAGGGTTGAGTCTTGCAGGGGGAGTGCAGGGGGTGCAGGATTGTAGGTCTCCAAGACCCTAATATATTCAAAACGTTAGAGTTTCACAGTGATTTGGTTTTTGTTTGGAATGTTCTTGGAGGCTTTCAAGCTTTCGGGCTTTCCAGCGTGGCTTCTTTTCTTTTACATCGTGGGCTTGCTGGGATCCTGGGGTTCTGAGAGCTTTAGGGGCTTTGGGTTAACGGTTTAGGGTTTGCAAAGGCCGTAGGGCTTCATGTTTATCGGTGGGTTGATGGGGATGCGAACGCCGAAGACCTGATCCCTCAATTTTGTTTGCCCATCCCATAAACTCTGAACTGCTGCGTTTGTCGAAGTTTGGGAGTTGCAGGGCGTGCCGTTAGCAGACGACTCACGACCCCGCATGCACACGGGGCTTAGCGGGTGTACAGGTTTTTCTGACTCCTTGAATGACATAAAGATGCCTATTCCGATGTTCTGTTGAATGCCGAATTACTCGTACTCACATTGACATGATTTTCGGGAGTTGTGTTGAGGTTGTCGGATCATCCAGAAACTTCGCGAGGCAGCAATCTACCCCAAGCCTGAACCTCGACCATAGTTGCCCCCCCCCCGTCTGCCCCCACCCTAAAACCCTGAATAAATAAATAAATATATATATATATATGTACATACACATATATATGTATATATATATATATACATATATATATATATATATCAGTTTTTCAGGAATCATCGTCTACAACCAAGGCCTCTCTGCCACTGCTGCGCAGTCGCTCAGCGAGCCAAAAGCGCCGAATTCGGAAAATAGAGCCGCGCGCAGTTCTCCAAACTTACAGGGGGGGGGGGGGGGGGGGGGGGGGGGGTTGGGGGGGGGTGGGGGGTTGGGGGGGGGGGGGGTGGGGGTGGGGGGGGGGGTCCCGGGGGGGTAGGGATATGCAGAGCGATTTTAAGGCCCTAAGTTGGGTTGTTGGTATCACTGGGTTATCATGATAAGTCCGCCTGAATTACATTTTTTGGGACCCCCAAACCCAACGCCACAAACCCGAAACCCTAAAACCCTAAACCCCAAGCAAGTCCCGTCCTGAAGTTAGGACCGAAGCCCATTAATTTCCCCAAGCCAAGAGCCACAAAGCTTATGGTTTAGGGGGTTTGGGATTTACAGGGTTTAGAGTGTAGGGCTTATGAATTTTGACCTTTCGTGTATACTATTACCTTGCTGTGTCGGCATCGAAAGGCTTGAATTGAAGCCTAGGGATCACGATTCACACTTTGGGCTTACTGGCTTGCTGTTGCGTAACTTCGATGAAGTAACCACGACAATACACTCTTTTCCCTATTCCCTAACCCCTACACCCGAAACCCCAACTTGCGGCAAGCTACTGTTGGCTTTCGTTCCCCCAGACCCTAAGCCACAAACCCTATTCCCTAAACCCTTAACCCTAAACCCTTAAAAGCAACAACCCGAAAGGGCTAAACCCTAAAACCTAAACCCTAAGCCCTAAACCCTAAACCCTAAACCCTAAACCCAAGGCTCCATGCGCATGGTACTTGTTTAAAGGGGTCTTAAGTCGATAAACAGTACCCACTTTGGTGGGCTATTTTGGAGCTTTGAAAGGATACGTCTAGGACAGCCCTGCTTATATATGATCGCTTTTAGGTTTAGGGGCTGGGGATTTGGGGTACTTTAAAAGCTCGTTGGACTCAGTGGGTCTACTTAGAACCCACCTTACTAACCCCACACTACCTACTAGGCTAACAGGGCTTCGCAGACCTACTACGAACCCTCAAGCCTAAACCCTAAATCCTAAAACCCTAAACCCTAAAACCCTAAACCCTAAACCCTAAAACCCCAAACCTTAAGTAGCCCAAAGACCGCTTCTGCGGCCGCCCGCATGACGTCCATCGCCGACTCCGTGGAGCTGCGCCGCAGCGACCGGCAGCTCCTCTTGGCCGAAGATGGGCGCGTGGTGCAGGGCTGAGAGAGGGCAGGGGTTTACGCTAAATACCCTAAACCCTAAGCCCTAAACCCTAAACCCTAAACCCTAAACTCATAAACCCTAAGCCCTATACCTGAAAAAAAACCACTGGGGGTCTAAGTGTCTTGGCGGCGGTTTTTTGGGCTTCTGCAGGCCTTCTACAGTTTCACATCCGTTCAAGAGTATTCCTCAGAAAATCGAAGTGGGGTTCGTTTAGGGCTTAGGGTTCAGGGTTTAGAGCTTAGAGTTTAGAGAGTTTAGGGTTTAGCATGTGGGGTTTAGGGCTAGGACCCGGAGTAGGCCCTTATTCCCGTTTTTTTCGGGTTTGGGTTCCCCTTTTTTAATCCTAGGTTCCTCTTGGGTCTAGTAGGACTCCTTCAGGGCTCAGGGTTTAGGGTTTAGGGTTTAGGGTTTAGGGCCCTGCCCCGCATGAAAGCGAAAAGCTACTTGGTCAGTTCCCCAAGTCAGGGCCCCGTTCACTACGCGAAGATTCATGTGTCGACTATATGTAAGTTAAAAGCACCCTCAAAGAAGGCTAGAACCAGTTATAATTGCAGCTACCCTACTTATAGCCCCAGTTATGGCTACCCATGAACTGCAAGATACTGGGAAGCCTGTGCCCCAAGCACTCTTAGGACCTCTCCGCCCTACCCAAAACCCCCTTAGACTACGTCAACTCCAACCCCCCAGACTTCCCTCCACCCTTCCCCTTCCCCACTTTCCCCGACCAGCTTCTCCCCTGCAAACCCTATACACCCCAGACCCCAACAGCAAAAACCCTAACCCCGAGAACCCTGAACCCCAAACTCCCTGAACCCTAACCCGAAGAACCCCTGAACGCCCCTAAGACCCCCGTAGGCCCTAAACCCTAAACCCCAAGCCCAAAACCCAAAACCTTAAACCCCATAAACCCCATAAACCCCGTAAACCCCATAAGCCCTAAACCCTAAAACCTAAACCCTAAACCCACGCCAACAAAACCCCTAATCCCCATAAACCCCACAGCCTCTCTTAGGACTTCCGTGCGGTTTGGCAGCTCACGTCCATGTCGTTGGGCGTGGGGCTCTTCGCCATTCCGCCGGGAGCTGAGAGCCCAGAAGGTTTAGGGTTTGTGGTTTAGGGCTTGGGGTTTAGGGTTTAGGGTTTAGGGTCTAGAGCTTTGGGTTTAGGATTTAGGGTTTAGGACTTCGGGGGTTTTAGGGGTGTTTGGGGCTTCGGGAGCTTAGGGTTTAGGGCTTCAGGGTGAGGTCGTTGCAAGTGAGTTGAGGTTTTTGTTGGGTTCAGGATTGGGTGGTGGTCTGTAACGTTTTTGAAAAAACCCTAAACCCTAATCCCTAAATCCTAAGCCTAAACCCTAATCCCTAAACTCTAAGCCCTAAGCCCTAAACCCTAAACAGTGGATTTCGAAACCAGAGGGCCAGCGTTGGCAGCAAAAGCGTGACTCTCTAGACCCTAACTCCCTCGAACCCGAAACCCAAAAACTTATGTAGCGAAACAAGCCCTGAACGGCCTAACCCCCTGAACCCCTCAATCCTTCAGCTTCTCAAATCGTGAACTACTTCCCATAACCCTTGAACCTCCCCAAACCCCTAACCCCTGACAGTGGTTCTTTCGTCTGGTTTCATTTTGTTTAGTTTTTTTTTTTTTTTTTGCGGGGGGGGGGGGGGGGGGTTCTGGTTAGCCCCAACAATTGTAGGTAGCCAAAAAGGAACTGCACTTGGGGTGGGGTGTCTCGGAAACCTTCAGCCCTACGACTATACCCAGGCAGCCGTAGCCACGTTTGGAACACTTGCCTAGATCGTGTGTCAGTTCTATCCCGGTTACAAAGCGGAGCCGTGTACGTAGGGTACACCAGCAAGGGACCACCACTGACATAAATGACCCTTTGGTTACTATCACATGGTTTGATGAAGTTTTATGCCTGTGCTCATGCACAAGCCGCAAAATTGCACCCTGAAGCACCCTATGACCGTAGACCTTAAGTACTGAAAGCCCTGCACCGGCCGCTTAGCCCTAGACCGATCTGTAAGCCCTTAAACGACAACCCCGACACACAGTCAATCCTATTCTAACTCCTGGCATACATGTCACGCTATTTCAGTTCAACCTGTTGTTTACTCGAGACCTCCTTCTGTTGTGCGTATGGTCGCGGGTTTTCCTCGTGTCACAGGGTGCTTAGTGGCCAGTCTGGACCAAGAGCCTGGATGCACACCAGATGTCCATCCAGGGCAGCACCGCAGAAGTCCCTTGACGTTCTAACTCCAGGGAGTTAAATTACAGCTGTCCAGATAAAATGCAGAATCCTTTTCCTATGCATGATCGACTTGCATGCATGGGTCTTTCAATCTGCTCCAGCCAAAACGGGACGCGGAAGGGACACGGTACGTAGAGGGGTCTTCGGCGACAGGGCAATTGAGCTGGGCTCTTCATGCACTCCTACAGTCGGAGGGCCCCCTTAGCGCTGTCAACACTGCCTGTCATGAGTCAAGCCCCGCGTACATGCACTTAGCCATATGGCCGCGGGTCTTTCCTCGTGTCACAGGGTGCTTTGTCGCCAGTCTGGACCAAGAGCCTGGATGCACACCAGATGTCCATCAGGGCAGCACCGCAGAAGTCCCTTGACGTTCTACCTGCAGGGACTTAAAATACAGCTGTCCAGATGAAAATGCAGAATCCTTTTCCTATGCATGATCGACTTGCATGTATGGGTCTTTCCATCTGCAGCAGCCAAACCGGGATGTGGAAGGGACACGGTACGTGGAGAAGTCTTCGGCGACAGGTCAATTGAGCTGGGCTCTTCATGCACTCCTACAGTCGGAGGGCCCCCTTAGCGCTGTCAACACTGCCTGTCATGAGTCAAGCCCCGCGTACATGCACTTAGCCATATGGCCGCGGGTCTTTCCTCGTGTCACAGGGTGCTTAGTCGCCAGTCTGGACCAAGAGCCTGGATGCACACCAGATGTCCATCCGGGCAGCACCGCAGAAGTCCCTTGACGTTCTACCTGCAGGGACTTAAATTACAGCTGTCCAGATGAAAATGCAGAATCCTTTTCCTATGCATGATCGACTTGCATGCATGGGTCTTTCAATCTGCACCAGCCAAAACGGGATGCGGAAGGGACACGGTACGTGGAGGGGTCTTCGGCGACAGGGCAATTGAGCTGGGCTCTTCATGCACTCCTACAGTCGGAGGGCCCCCTTAGCGCTGTCAACACTGCCTGTCATGAGTCAAGCCCCGCGTACATGCACTTAGCCATATGGCCGCGGGTCTTTCCTCGTGTCACAGGGTGCTTTGTCGCCAGTCTGGACCAAGAGCCTGGATGCACACCAGATGTCCATCAGGGCAGCACCGCAGAAGTCCCTTGACGTTCTACCTGCAGGGACTTAAAATACAGCTGTCCAGATGAAAATGCAGAATCCTTTTCCTATGCATGATCGACTTGCATGTATGGGTCTTTCCATCTGCAGCAGCCAAACCGGGATGTGGAAGGGACACGGTACGTGGAGAAGTCTTCGGCGACAGGTCAATTGAGCTGGGCTCTTCATGCACTCCTACAGTCGGAGGGCCCCCTTAGCGCTGTCAACACTGCCTGTCATGAGTCAAGCCCCGCGTACATGCACTTAGCCATATGGCCGCGGGTCTTTCCTCGTGTCACAGGGTGCTTAGTCGCCAGTCTGGACCAAGAGCCTGGATGCACACCAGATGTCCATCCGGGCAGCACCGCAGAAGTCCCTTGACGTTCTACCTGCAGGGACTTAAAATACAGCTGTCCAGATGAAAATGCAGAATCCTTTTCCTATGCATGATCGACTTGCATGTATGGGTCTTTCCATCTGCACCAGCCAAAACGGGATGCGGAAGGGACGCGGTACGTGGAGAAGTCTTCGGCGACAGGGCAATTGAGCTGGGCTCTTCATGCACTCCTACAGTCGGAGGGCCCCCTTAGCGCTGTCAACACTGCCTGTCATGAGTCAAGCCCCGCGTACATGCACTTAGCCATATGGCCGCGGGTCTTTCCTCGTGTCACAGGGTGCTTAGTCGCCAGTTTGGACCAAGAGTCTGGATGCAAGCAGATGTGTATCCACGGCAAGCTGGGTTCTTCATGCACTGCTACAGTCGGAGGACGTCCTTAAGCGCCGTAGACTCAGTTGGTCGAACCGTTTTGAGGTCCCCTGCCCCCCCCCCCACCTTACACCCTAACCCCTAAACCTCCTAAAACCTGGAGTAACTAACCCGCAGGCCCTTAAAACGGGGAAACGTGCCTTAATTGTTGGCTAGATTTATTTACCCTTTTTTTGGAGGCATATCGTTACTCTAGGCAAAGCCTGAGTCGATCGTTCAGTTCCTAGCGAACTAATCCTAAACCTTTGACCCCTGAACCCCTAAACCACTAACCCTCTCAGCCCCTTGTGCTTGGGTGTTGGTTCTTGTGGTTGGGTGTTGGCCCTAAGCCCTGTACCCCTAAACCCTAAACCCCCAAAACCCTTAAAGCCTAAACCCGTCAACCCTAGCCTCTACACCCTAAACCCTTGAACCCCTCAACCCTAAGCCTCTAAACCCCCAAACCTAAACCCTGAGCCCTAAACCCTAAGCCCTAAGCCCTAAGCCCTAAGCCCTAAGCCCCTAAACTCGAAACCCCTTAACCCCGGCAGACCCAGTTATGGACCTTCAACCCTATAACCCCTAAACACCCTAAACACCCTAAACCCTACCCTAAGGGCCCCTAAAACCTAAACCTTAAAACCCTACAAACCTAAACCCTACAAACCCTAAACCCGGAAAGCCCCACGTACTGTTTCGAAGCTTTGATCCCTACAAACCCTAAACCCCCAGGTATTGTTTCGAAACCCTAGACCCTGCGAACCCTAAACCCACCCTAATCCCTGAAAGCCCCAGGTATTGTTTCGAAGCGGTGGGGTGGCTTTTGGGTGGCATCCTCATAGTGGCCGTGGCCCTAAGCCGGTGACGTGCCTTCTCTCAGGGGTTTAGGGTGCATTCGGGTTTTAGGGTTTATGGAGTTTCTAGGGTTTCTAGAATAGGTTTAGGGTTTAGGGAGTTTGCCTGCGGCTTTATGGGTTCTATCTACTCACGAAGGGTTACGCCTTCTAAGCTGAAAGCGACTCACAGGTGCGATTTCAGAGTTTGCGACATTTACAAGTTTAGGATTTTGGGGCTTAGGGCTTTGCAACATGAGGGCTTCAGGGGAATCCTTCATATCGTTTAGGGGCTTCGGGACTTCCGTGCTAGTGGAAAGGCGGCTTTGGGTCAGAAAACCCATAGCCGCGCGGCGCTCCTAAATCCATTGAAGCCGTCCGTCTCTCAATCGC